GGCGTGTCCTCGATGCTGATCTGGCTGGGGAAGGCCTCTAGCAGCACTCGCAAATAAGGTGTTTGAGGGTAGAGCATACAAATTACACAGGAAGTGAAGCATTGCCACCTCACGGGAGGAGCCATTGAGCAACCTCTGTCTCTTCAAGCTCTCCTCAGCTATGCTCACAGCATTCGAAAAGCACTCAACCGAAATTCAATTTCCAATAATCAATGACATTGATGGCCATGGAGCACCGGCTTCAGCTGGAAGCATCGGACAGGTGTCCACATTATCCACCATGGATCCAAGCATGATCCTATGCAGCCATAAAGTCAAAAAAACCTGCATCTAGAATGAGACACCACTTTAGACTTGTAATATACACACCACTGTCCTCTCCCTTTGCGCGTGCAACTTCGCGAGAAGGTGCTGCTTGACTTCATCGACAGATGCTGGGCCTCAACATCAACAATCAGTCACAAAAGATACTATGTGCACATGCATGGTCATGCATCTATGCAGATTTACTGCCTAAGATGTTGTATGTGCTCCCAATGCAGCATGCAACTATCACCACAAAGCATATGCCTGTACTGAAGCCATTTGAAGAAAGATGATATATACACCAACCTATTCGAGATAGACTGCACGAACAAATCCATCTGCTCTCGATGCACTTCCGGGTTTGTTCATTTACGGACTATATATATATATATATATATATATATATATATGCTTTGAATAGTATATAAGTGTGTATATATATATATATATATATCTATGCATCTGTTAAGAACCATAGTAATACGATCATTCTATATATATAAACATTATATACTGCATAACTTGTGCATAGACAAGAGACACCGACATGAGGTTTTATATGTATGTCTATACAACTACAGAAACTGAGTGTGTGTATTATATATATATATATATATATATATATATAATTTTCTTCTATATATATATATATACTTGTTATATACAAATACCGGATGAGATAGAGAGAGAGAAAAAGAGTGAGAGAGACAGAGCAAGAGAGAGAGAGAGAGAGAGAGAGAGAGAGAGAGAGAGAGAGAGAGAGAGAGAGAGAGAGAGAGAGCGAGAGAGAGAGAGAGAGAGAGATAGAGATATGCAGCAATAGAACAACTCAGCATGTCTGCATTAACACATGTTGAAGCAACACAAGACTGAAACTGTCTGAATGCAAGCATCTGCATTGCACCAAAGTCCATGCTAAGCTCATGCACGTGACCTGCATGCACATCCTCTGCTGCATCAGGAGCTGCTTCCACACGCTCCGGAGTCTCAGGCAAGCCTGAGGAAACAGTGATCTCCCCAAAGATGGGGTCATCCAGGCCATGCCCACCACTTGCAACCGGCTCTGGCATCACCTGCATCTCGGGCTCCATCGGCATCTCTTCATGCTCAGCGGAAGATCCGGTCGCAGGCAAATAAGGGCACACCAAACCATCCAATGTCTTCCACTGGCCCACATAGGGATCGTAGTGAGCACCCTCTTGCACAGCCCCACACAGCATCAAGGCTGCACCATAGCCATAGAGCCGTGAGAGTCGATCAAACCTTTCATGGACAGTCTCCAGCTGCTCACTGCTCGAAGCCGGGGCAGGGTCACTGCTCGAAGCCGCCGGGGCAAGGACACTGCTCGAAGCCGCGGGGGCAAACGCACTGCTCGAAGCCGCTGGGGCATCCAAACATCCATCCAACTCATCATCTGGCTGGGTGAAGGTGTCCGGCATCACATAGTCTTGGGCATCTTGGACAGGCGGAAATTCCACTGCCTCATCTGCCACTTCGCGATGCAGCGAATCCATCAGCGGAGGCATCTCCTGCTCAGGCTCAGCAGCCGGAGCAACTCCACCTGCATCCGCCAATGCCAAATCGCCACCCTCAGGAAAGGCCTCAGCAGACTTCCTTTTCTTCCAAAGGGCCCGAGTGCGGTTCTGCACCTCCAGCGCTTCGGGATCCATGCCGCTGCAAATCTTGATGACATAGGGCACTTCATTGGCCTCCATCTGCCGTGCCACCTCTCGAAGCCTCACCTTCAACACCCATTTATTCCACACCACAACTGCATGCATGAGAAAATCATGCAAGCCCGATGCATAAATGTCTGAATGCAGCTGTGATGCAGTAAGCCTCTGCACATCCACATCTCGCTGATTATCAGAACGATCAGCGAGTCCTTAAACTCCGAGTCCTGTCCCTCTATCTGTGCAGCCGATACATGGCATAGACTTCTCTACTTGTGACAGGCAAGTTATAACATGGCCACAAGATGATAAGAATATCTATCCATCCATCGATAAACATATACCTATCATATTTACCTGTCAACAAAGTATGTATAAATATTTCGTGTACATATATTTGTCTGTGTATATATATATATATATATACATTTTTGAATTTAATGCTACATGTATATGTTTATTTAAGTATATGCTATATTTTCTGTATGTGTTCAGGACTATAGGAGCAGAGGAAAGTTGTGGACACATGTACATGAATGTCAAAGTTGTATACTGTTCGTGTATGTATATATATATATATGTATACGTGTATGTTCATGTTATCCTCAATACATGAGTCTATGACGAGCATCGGCGATGGCAACACACCAGTGCCTTGATGGCATGAGCATCTGGGTTGATGCAACCAGCATCGATCTTCACCTGGCAAATGTTGTACCCCAACCTTTAACCCAATATCGTAGTCTCAGTCTTTCCTATAATAACAGAGCACCTCCTTCTTCGCGACATTGAGGTGTCTCATCTGCGTGGCGGGCGAGATAACACAGAAATAAGTAAGCACATGCAGAACTCCTACCACCAAGTATATTACCATGCTACTGACCCACCTTGATCTGCACACGAAAGGAAGACATCATGGATTCCAAGACATTGACATACAGCAGGGCATAATGCTGGAGGTTGCGGCCCACGATCGGAGCAAGAAGTGCCTTGGAAAGGCATCCCTATGTATAGGGAACAATTGGGATTCTACATTGATCGAAGATATAGGGTAGGAGCCAGGGCACTTCATTCAATTTGCAAGCCAGCGCCGTTGGGATGCGCTTCTGCCCTTTGCCATCAGCCGGCCATTGAATAAAGCACTTGTCATTCATGGCCAAGGAGGCCAACGCGGGGACCTCATCCCACTCCTGAACAGCAATGACCATTGGAAAGCATACAGCCCCTTCTGATGACACAGACTCTCGGCTCAGTGGCCTTCATCACAGCCTTCACGAGGCTGGAAAGGAGCCTCTGCGAAGGACCATCGTCCGTCTCGGCGATCGGTCCCGGCTCCATGGCACCACAGAGACAAAAAGGAACAGCTCGGAAAAACAAAACACAAGCCAGAAGCTGCCAGCAGAAGACAGGGGCATGAAAGCACAAGCTGCAAGAAGCTTCAATATTGTCCAGCAAGAGCAAGAGCTGCTTTCAACAATGCTGGGCTCCAGGCCCCCATCAGTGCCATGCTCACTCAAAGTGCTGCAGTTTTGGTGTCCCACATCTTGTATTTAATTGAATGCGATTCTGTCTTGGATATAAGCTCAGAAAATCACTGAAAAGATAGGTGATTCTGCCAAGACGAAAGTACATCTCTGGCTCTGCTTGCTCATGCATGGTTTGAGAACATGTCCGATGCTGGTCACACATCTGCAATCAAACGCCCAAGATCTCACCTGCACTTGCTCAGCTGCACTGCTAGCAAACTTGAAATGCAGACATTCATGCATGCATATGCATATATATATATATATATATACATATATATATATATATATATGTATATGTATATGTATATGTTTATGTATATGTATATGTATATGTATATGTATATGTATATGTATATGTATATATCTGATGAACCATCTCACTGGATATCGAATATGCCATTACCCACATGTATGCATGCTTCACTACACTCAAAAAGCACGAAGACTGTGAGCAGAGCAGACCACTCGACTGGAGACACCCATATTTCTTCATCCATCTGCGAAGCAAGCAGGGTTGCACAACAGATCATTCGGCTAGAGACACATATCTTTAATCTTCAACCATTTGCGAAGCAAGCAGGGTTGCAGAACAGCTCATTCGAATGGGGGTACCCACAGAATCTTCATCCATCTTCGAAGCAAGCACAACTCATTCTGCTCGAGACACACATATAGAATCTTGGTACATCTGCATTTGCGAGGCAAGCAGGTGTAACAGAGGCACTCTCGTCTCTCTCCACTGTGTGTGTTTGTGTGTAATTATGCATTCGACCTGAAACATGTGTTTATGTTGTCATGAAGTGCAGCATGGCCATGTACATATACAATCCTTGTATATCTTGGTGTGTATGTGTAAGTGTACATGTGTGTACCCATGATTTGGCCAACACATACTATGCTTTGGACCAGCATTTTCAAGAACTAGTTTCCCAGGCCAAAAAGAAACCAAATCCTCCTCAAAACCATTTTGTGCACACAAAAAGTAGGAAACCAAAATAAACCCCTACAAACCAATGTCCAGGTATATATATATATATATTTATTTATTTATTTATATTTATGTATGTACATATCTACATATACGTATATATATATATATATATATATCATATACGTATGCGCATATACCTGGGACTGCGTCGTGTCGCATCTGTAACGCATACACTTCCCGGTGTTTTCTTTTTTGTAAGTAATGCGTCCTACACTACGATCCGCATAAAGGAGAATCAGAAAGTGGACATTGTAGAGTAGACGGGACTGCGCGTTTGATTGAAACACTGGCGTGAACTGCTATATCCAACCCCAGAGCCAAGTTCAGCACACGATTCAGCCCAAACCCTCAACCACGAGCCCCAAACTCAAACCAAATCCTGCACCACAACATGCCACAACATCGTTGCCCTTACCGGAACCACAGGGCTCAGCAACACCGCATCACATATCATGTGCAACTGGCGACCAAGGGCCTGTATTCAAGCTCTATTTAGCCAAGGACCCTCCCCAGGAGGAACCATCATTGCTGGTACTTCGAAGCGTTTTTTGGCACCTGCCGCGCCCCCAGGCGGGCAGATGATGTCAGTTTTCACCCATGCATCGTAAACCACCAGAAGGCAGCACTCACCGTTTGCGCGTGGCATTTACACAGCACAAAAGTGGCTTACGAGCTTGTCTCTAAATCTCAAGCGACCTCGAAAGTCTCTGTTCAACATTGACTGTTTTTTCAGAGCAAAATCTCCTGATGCGAGAGTGATATGGTCCTAATATAGGGGCCTCAATAGTTATCTATACCTACACTATTTTGGGGGCTCCTTATTATTGAGCTCAACCTCCAATTTTTGCCGAGATATTAGGACCATGCTGCGCTTTCAAGCATAACTCTCCACCTCCCACTACAGAGTGCGGAGGCTCCCACAGCACATGGAAGCTCCACCCGATTTAGGGCTTATGGGTGTGGGTTTCGGGTTTCTGGTGCGCTCGTAACTGTAAACCCTAGAATCCCTAGAACCGATGAACACCTTGCTTGTAGTGAAGAGAAGTTCTTCATTCTGGATTCTGGACGTACCTTGTCGTTTAGGGCCCCTTTGATGCTATTCTAGAAACCCTCACGGTACGCCTCCGCTGTTTAATTTGGGCATCTCACATGTCGTTGCCATGCCATATCACAGTAGCAAGCCCGAACTCTTGCATCCGTGCCGTCAGTGCCTTCCTGCGTGCGAGTGTGCGAGTCGAATCGAGAGACCTTGTTCGGCCTGTCCGAGTTGCGAGAGCGTAGATCGCCTGAGACGCAGACCCTCAACCCAAAACCACATAAACCTATTAATCAGAAGTCAAATGTATAGCCTAAACCCTATACCCTACACCCTTAACCCTATACCCCAAACCCTATACCCTAAAGCCTCTATACCCAAAACCCTATATCCTAAACAACCCACCCTCAAATGCCTGAATGTCCAAGCTTGAGGCCAGCGGGACAAGTCTTCGCAGCGCTTCTGGAGCCATTCTCCGGGAAGAAGTCTTGAAGGGCCTTACACTGGGCTTTGGAGTACCATACTTTAATACTTTTATCTTGAAGGAACCGGTATGAAAGAAAAGTGTATACTTTTTCTCTCCCTGCTTACTCAACAGCCCAGTAAAGGGCTCTTTTAGGGCTTGAGAGGGTACCTTTTTAACAAGGCGGGTTCTTGTAGACTAGTCTAGCCTGCCTAAATTTAGCTTTTAAAACGGGGAGAAGTAGTATGCTGCTCGTATTACGAGTACTTCTACCAGCATTAAGTGCTACTACTGCTGCTGGCATTAATGAAATTATTGGCACGACTTGCTAGTAATGCTAGTACGATTGGTCCTGATAGTACTACTCCTACGCCTTCTGCTGAAGCTACTGCTACTGCTACGGCCTACAAGTGGTCTACGGCTAGTGCTGCTACTACTTCTCCTACTGCATTTGTTGCTGCTACTGCTACTCTATTGCTATGTGCAAACCGAGGCTTTAGAGGTTCTACGTGTGCACACTGAGGCTTGAGAGGCTGCACTTAGGCTGCCTCGCTGCAGACTGAAGCTTGAAGACCTGCTACATGCAACGATCAAAGTCCGAGTCAAGCTGAGTGTCCGAAACGACAACAAAAAAGTTTGGTTTGCCAGAGGTGCTTTTTATGGTACTCGTGCCAGCTAGCGAGCCGGGGTGTTGTTCAGCGGACATGTTCTTACAGGTGGTTTGCAAGATGCAACCTTTGGTAATGGTTGTTGTTTGAGAGCTTAGTTATCCTCAAACGTTGGTTTGGAAGCTACTGATGTGAGCCTTGTAGACCGTATTGAATCCCGAGAACTCCTAAAACCATTCGATATGCACTTTGCCCTCAACCCGTGACTCAAAAGTAGCTTAGATATTAACAGATCGCCTCATGCAACAGAGGCTGTTGTAACCCAAATCCTATCGTGCATTCAAAGTCTTACTCTATGCATCAGGCCTGCTGTTGATGGGAGTGTAGTGAGGAGTCTGATGTGCCCTGTATTGGGATAGTTCAAGGCAAAGTCCCTGTGAGCAGTAGCGAAAAGGATGCAGGTTAATGGTGGTAGATGGGTTCGTGGTTCTGGTCATGTTGCTCTCGATTGCAGTCTTATCTCGTTGTGGATTGTGTGGAGTTTTGCCTGCATTGAGCGAGCCGAGCAGCCGAAATATACAAGACAAGTGGTCCTAACAGGAGCGGTTTGCAACAAGTGCGTCGCCCCACGTGCAGGGGGCCGAGTTTCCCCACCCGTGTTTGCACATTTGAGAATGCGAGCACTACGTATCAAGACGAGCAACAGGATTTAGGGTCCCTGGCCCCGATGAAATCTACAGCTACCTTCCTATGGCTCCTTATTATGATGAATATGAGTCCTGAAAAGATAAGTTATTTGGGGTTTGAGGAGGGTTGTTCTAGCTGATATCTTTGTAGCCAGTAGTCACATTTGCCTGTGAGCAGTAATTCCGACAGCATCGATTCTCTGGGTTATTTCCAGTTTGGCCTGTGATGTCACATGCTGTACTCTTAGTCTTCCTGTTAATACCTCAATCTCCACTTACTCTGGCTGGTTATTAGTCGTTTGTCCTGAGGATGGCCTGCGGTCAACACCATGTCAGAATAGTGAAGGATGAGCCAGGAACTGTTCTTGAGAGCCAAGGCCATGCCTCCGTGTTGTTTTGGCTTTGGTTTAGAGCTACTGCCTTTGTTCAGGGTTCGGGGAGTGTCCTAAACGACTGCAAGCTTCATGCATCCGGTTCAACCCCATCGTTGCAAGGGCCGTTGACCTGAATCGTGTTCAATCCTGAGTCCTGAGAAACTCGAACAACGGACGAAAGCTCAAGGCAAAAAAGCGACGTTGTCCCAGACCTTGTCTTGTCTTCCTGCCAGCGAGTTCGACTGCACAGCAGTTTCATTCAGGGCAGCAGTGCAGTCCCTTGTGGAAAACGACTCTGACTGTACGGTTGTCTCATTTTCGGGTCAACAGTTCATCGCTGGAGCTCCTATCGTGTCGCCACCCCGTGTGGGCCTACCCAAAGGCCCCAAAGTAGTTCCTTTTTGGGGTTACCCTATAGGATTCTATATATGAACCAGAAAAGGAACTAGTTTGGGGCCTTTGGGTACAGCAGGCCCTACGTAGTCGTATCCGGATTAGAATCGTTTGTGCCCGGCATCAGTAGTCTCTAGGCATCTCACCTGGCTCGGGCGCTACACGCACACCATCAGCATGCGGCAAGTGGGGCCTCAGGCCAGGGATCGTTGAGATAGGTTTGGTGTTGAGGGCTTAGGGGAAGTCGGTGCTTGAAAAGGGCTTAGTTTTGAAGTTGCAGGCTTCCGGATGGGGTTCAGGGTTTATGGTTCTGCGGTGCTCCGGGTTTTGGACCCAAAGAACCTGGTCCACAGGCATCACTCTTGAGAATGTTTCCATCAGGATGCCCGGCCGGGCTTCCAAGTTCAGGATACCTTGCCGAAAATCTTGAAATGGGAGTTTCCGAAAATTGGGGGTCCCGTATTGTGGGGTCCTTATAATAAGGGTCCTCTATTTCGGGTACCATATTAGGGTCCCGTATATTCGGAAACTCCCAAATGTCTTGTCGTGTCATGTGCGTGGTCACAAGTAGTTGCATGTTTCCGGCGTCCTGGGCAGATGCTGTCAGAATCACATAACCCCTAAACCCTAAACCCTAAACCCTAAACCGATAACCTAAGCCGGGCGAAATGCTGCCCGCTTCGCCCAAGCCTCACTCTCTCCCAAATCTCCCAAAGAAAGCCTAGGGCGGCACCAGGCCCAGGGTTCCTTTTGATAGACTTATAAGTATCGTAACCCCAATTAGGGTCCCTATTAAGGTACTTATAAGTCTATATAACAATAATAATAATAACAATAACAATAATAATAACAATAATAATAAAACTAATAGTAATAATCAGAATAATAACTACTTACTCTCTTTGCAACCTGCAGGAGTCGAAGCAGTGGCGAAGCTTCGACAGCATGGGGAAGCACACATGCGCGCAGGGCCCTGAGCCTCAGAGCCCCTTTTTGTGGGAACTTTTTTGAACCCAGGCTCTATGCCATCATCAGCTGGAAATCGGCAGAACTGTTGATAGAACTCGTGCAGGTTGCTTAGAAAGAGGGGCAGCAGCCTCAGATCTTTCAACCTTGCCATTCTGTTGATGCACGATGCCTCTTGCACGGAAGTCGTAGTGCGGTCGTCGTCATCGGGGGAGTCGGAAGGAGCAGCAGGACATGGAGGCAGGAGGGGGCCAGCGGACAGAGAGAAACAGCTGACGGAGGAGGAGCAGCAGGATGAGGAGGAGGAGGAGGAGGAGGAGGAGGAGGAGGAGGAGGAGGAGGAGGAGGAGGAGGAGCGTTGTGACCTGAATGTCGTCGTGATTAATGATCGGCACGCCTTCATGTGTTTGATTTTATTTCCGAGGCTTGATGTTCCCGCAGAGATCTCTCAGATGAAGGTGCGAGACGCATGGATCCAAGCGAGCTGTTCGGACCGTTCAAGGTTCAGGGCTGTTCAACTGGAGATAGATCACTTACAGTAGAGTTGAGATTCGTGGCGTTTCAGGTTTTGGGACGGGCTGAAGGTTGTGCTGCGTGGTGGACATCAGGATGCACTGCCTGCCCTGCATCCTCCAAAGCTCCACTGGAGTTTGACCCGATGTGCGGGGAACAGTGCGCGTGAACATCCTAGCAATAGAGGATCCTTCGACTGCGGGCTGCTAATGTAGGGCCTTAATCGTTATTAAGTTATGGTCATAATACGGAACCCCCGCAATAAAATAGGTAAGTGTTTAGGCCCCTATATTTCCTTTCCGGTTACTTCTTAAGCCTTTGAGCCCAACCTGTGGAGCTGCTACTGACAGCCTCAAATGAACAGGAGCTGCAAGTTTTGTCCAACCGCAGCACTGTCTGGGCCCCCCGGACCCTACCCCTCCCCTCGGGGCCATAAACAGCAGTGCACCTTACGAATCCCGAAACACAAAGCATCTCCCCCGCCTCCAACAAACACGCCGAAACTGAGGTGATGGGCATCGGCCTCCCTTTGATGTCGCCCGAAAGGGCCTGGTTGCTAAGGTTGCGCCGGGCTCGGACATTTCGGGAACCAGGTTGAAGATCTTAAGATTCATGTGTCTGGTGCGGACTTGTGAGATTGTAGATTTTGTGGTTTGGGATAATTTTGGCTAGTTGTTGTCGAGTCTATAGTAATAAGTTTCATGGCATGAGGCTGAAGACCGTAGGGTTCAGGATTTGAGGGCCTCGCGATATTACAGTTGCAGCTCTTCGGGGCTAATGTTGGCGTCCTGGGTTTGGGGTTCAGGCATTCGAAACTTGAGTCCGATAGCGATAAAGGATTTCGAATCTGCATTGCAAGTAAGTGGTTTTGTAAGGTGCACATGTTTTTTGTTAGTGGCATTTAGGTTCTGGGGAAGGGTTTTGGGTCTTTAGACAACTTCGAGACTTTGCAGGACTGCAGTGTCTCTTGGGTTAAGAGCTTTTGGGTGCGCATGGGCTCTACGGCGTTTACATTGCCTGGGCCTTCGAACATTGACTGGCGCATTGTTGGTGTAGTCAGCAATCAGGCGACGAAAGCCGACAGTAAGGGAAGGCCTAGCTACTCGAAGACTTCTGGCACACCCCTAAACCCAGGCCCTTAACCCCAAACTTGACTCCTGAACCGGCAAAACCTAAACCCGAAACCCTACCCCAGAACGCCAAAGCCCTAGACCTGGAGCTGGTCCTAAACCCTCAACCTGAAACACTGCAACAAGCCGAGTTCAAGCCCACGAGCTTAAAAGGCCGACTCCTTTGTAGGTTTAGGGTTCTGGATTCTAGATCCCGGACCCGCTTCAGGACAAGGCTTGAAATGAGGGTTTGGGGCTTAGGGTATGTGTAGGGTTTGGAGCAAGGTGCAAGGTTTCAAGAAAAGCTGAAACGGATCACGTGCTTTTGGCGTTGGGGAATTGTCTGCGACGCCGCCTGAAATTCCGAAGCCGGTTTAGAAGCATTGCAGAAATCCCGCAACCTGTGGCCAGCTTCCACCCCAACCTCGTGATTTCAGCCTCATGTTACGCCCCAGTCTATCATAGCTGTCTCGGCGACCAGCACCCAAATCGTACAGCTTGAGTCGTTCAGGCTGTGGAAAGTTTGCAAAGTAATTCTGGACTTCGTGAGGGACGTAGACCTGAGTCGTAGCATGGCGGCTGTGGCTTCAGACGGTTACAGTGCCAGTGGCTTGGCTGAAGATTATGGGACGACAGGGTTCAGAGTTTTATCAAACCAACGCTTCAGATCCACGTGCAGATGTGAGAAGAACTGTGGCGCGGTGTGTCTTTATGCAGACGTCCGCTTGCGCGTGGGCCTCTGAGCTGGTTCAGAATGGAGAGTTCAGAAACTCCAGTAGGCTAGTGTGTCGAATTACACCGACCCTGAATAGCTTCGTATCCGTTATAAATACAAGCTTGGTGTCCTTTATCGTTGCAGGGCGCATTACATGAAGCACCCCCACTTCGCAGACACATTCCGGCTTGGGCAGTGATATGCCGACATGGCCCGAGTAACCAGTAAGACTGAGGGCTCCGTGTTTAGTACAATCCATAAGGAAACTAGACAGTGTAGCGCAACTCAAATCTCAACACCCGGCTCCAAACATAAAAGGCTCCTATGTCAGCGTGTCCCCCACGCTGTCTGCTAAGCAACCCTAGTGAAGCAGCGGATTACATTAATTATTTCAGGTGCAATCTCGATATTACTTTTAGTAAGTGGTTTCCCCCTACAGTCTCTATGCCCTTTGTTGAGGGCCGTACTTTGAGCCCTTGTGGCCCTTGCCTCTGTGGAAGGTACGGCTGTCGGACATGGCAAAGTCGAAACAGCCGTGGTTGCCTTTCGGCTGATACGCAGTGGGTACCCAGAGACTCCAATATCCCTTAATTAAGGAATATACCTTAAATCAAAATGGGGATCCTACTAGTGCGAAGGGATATTGGAGTCTCGGGGTGACCGGTCAGCCCTCACAAGTTGCTGAGTGATTTCGTGGTCGATGAGAATCGTGAGGTTTGCAAGGGGCCGGAGCGCGTTGCGTCCTTCCATGCCATCACACAAAATTTTCTGGGGGGAGCACAACGATGAGAACTTCAAAATATATTCCCAGCTGAAGGTAACACTGCGCTACACCCCACCCCAAATCCATACTGTATTCTGCTGGACTTGAAACACGATTGCTCCCGACCCCTTCGAAGCTCTTAGATTCCGGATCTGCCTTGGGTAGACCAGCGCACAGTAGGCCTCCGACATGTTCATATCCCGTTCGTGCTAAGATTAGTTCGTCCATGTTTGTGTATATAGGTGGTTAGCTTTTGGAGGGTTTCACGTCACTGGGCGAAACGTACGGGCTTTGGAACCTAGGGCAAGATCAGCTAATAATATCAATACCGTTTCATTATCATTTTCAATTGCTATTCATTCTTGTTGTTTGTACTACCCTTATTGTAGTAGTAGCAGTAGTAGTCGTCGTCGTCGTCGCCGGCGTAGTAGTGGTATTTGTAGTAGTAGTAGTAGTAGTAGTAGTAGTAGTAGTAGTAGTAGTAGCAGTAGTCGTAGTCGTCGTCGTAGTCGTAGTGGTAGTGGTAGTGGTAGTGGTAGTGGTAGTGGTAGTGGTAGTGGTAGTGGTAGTGGTAGTGGTAGTGGTAGTGGTAGTGGTAGTGGTAGTGGTAGTGGTAGTGGTAGTGGTAGTGGTAGTGGTAGTGGTAGTGGTAGTGGTAGTGGTAGTGGTAGTGGTAGTGGTAGTGGTAGTAGTAGTGTTATGGTAGTGGTAGTGGTAGTGGTAGTGGTAGTGGTAGTGGTGGTGTTGTTGGTGGTGGTGGTGGTGGTAGTAGTTGTAGTAGTACTTGCAGTTGTAGTAGTTGTAGCAGCAGTAGTAGTTGTTGTTGTTGCAGCGATAGTAGAAGCAGCAGCAGCAGCAGCAGTAGTAGTAGCATTAGCAATAGTATTCGTTTTGCAGACAGGTCAGTTAGCACTAGCCTTAGCATCGGCATTCGCTTTTGTATGTTTCTTAGTACTACATTACTGGTAGTATCAGCATTGTTGCTTTTGCTAATATTATGACCGTTTATGAACAATCCGTACATGTCTATATATATATATATATATATATGTGTGTGTATGTATATATATATATATATGCTTGGAGACTCAGGGGTGGGTCCCCAGCAGTTTTGGCCCGATCCAGGAGGGTTTCTTCTAGACTCTTAGGCTCTAGACCGTTTTGGGGCTTGGCGTTTTTTTGGTTCAGGGTCCAAGTCTGGCTAGACTTGTATCCCTAAACCCCAAAACTCTGGGCGGGTGGCAAAAAAAAAAAAAAACAAAACCCAAAGAGTCTGTGAAAAAACATGCCAAACTTGTGGACCGGCTGGCTCTCAGTTGTTTGTGGGCTCAAGAAAGCAGTAATATCGGGACCTGTGTAATCAGCAAGATCATTCCTTGAATTTGGGTTCCCTTATTGTAGTCATACGGAGTACGGTGTACTCGGAGCTGTGCCATCGTGATGGCCCTTGATTCATGTTTAAGGAACGTGCAATGATTGGATGCCCATCTCCGCATGATCCTTACGAGAGAAAGCAGCCAGACAGTCAGGGAAATGAATACCTAGAGCCTTTCCAGACACAACTTTCAGAGGCCTGACTTTGAACCTAATGCCCGAAAGCCTGATCTCTAAAGACCCCAAAGCTGCAATTTCATACTGTAGGATCTTGCATATGGGTGGTTGTCACAATTATGGTCCTTTTTTGGGTCCTTGAAATAATGCGGCACCGCATATTTTTGTGGTACCCAGGAGCCCTAATTCTGACAACTACCCAGATAGAGTTAGTTAACCAGAAAAGGGACTATATACAATGGAGACTATGAGCAGTGTTTTGTTTTTTGGGACCCTTGCACAGTCTGATCTAGGATCAGAGCGCTGTCGTCCAGATGATGAAGGAGTGGATCGAGTCCTTACCTTTCCCGGCTCCTTTGCTTCTCCTTGGAGAGACGGAGAACTCGATGTCATTCAGCTCTAGTCAAGAGTCTAACCTGCTTTAGCTTGGTTTGAAGGTCGCTTGGGTTGAAAAGTCGTAGTTGAAACAGCTTAATTCAGATGGGTGTGGGCGGCGGGGTTCGAACAGTCTGGGCGTGTGCGTTTCGGGTATCGCGACTTACCACTCCCAAGCTCCCTTCGATGTCGGGAGACTCCGGCGTGCTCGCGATGGCTCAGAAGATTGCAGCCGCCCAGAAAATACTGGGCAGAGGTCTCGTAGAAGTAACTAACACTCCCGAGTTTCCGCAGCCATGAACGAATATGAGTACATCTACATGAAGAAGCGCAAGGACTTCGGCCGATATTGTAACTTCGACACGGTTGAGGCAAAGATCCTGGGGCAGGTGGACCATCAGCCTCAATGTGGTGACATGTACGTAGAGCAGACGATCATCAATGCGGTGTTTCACAACATCCCGGAATCTGGGCTCTTATTAAGGAGTTCAATTTAAGTTACCATGATAGGGATCTTCAGTACATGAAGTATGGTAACTTGAATTAGCTCCTTAAAAGTTTAATTTGACTTACCATTATAGGGATCTTTAGTAGATCCTGTGGTTTCCTTATTATGGTAGCTTCAGTTAGCTCCCTTAAAAAGAGCCCAGGAATTCTCCGAGCACTCCGTAAACACTGCCCGAGTCAAGACCTCTGCCAGGGTCATGACGCACGTGGAAGGTGGGTGCTGCAGAAATATCATTAGGGTATAGGGTTTAGGGTTTAGAGACCCTCATTACAAGGGGGTTTATGTGGGATATCACTATCCGTATTTTTGCTTATGTGCTCTTTTGGGGGCCCTATATCAGGGATGCGAACATGGAATGCAATAGCAGCCAGACAGTAGTTAGGAGCCTTATCAGAACGACCCACAGAAAGTGACGCCTGAACCCCAAACCCCGAAATCTTATACTATTTCAAGAACCGCCAGGTGGTTGGCCGAAGGAGATTGATTATAGCGAGGCTCAGGACACTTTGAAGTATCGCAAGCGGCTGGAGAAAGATCCGGCCT